CTGGCGGGGCCAGCGAGAGGAAACCGGCGGCGCGAGTGTGAAGGGGAGGAAGGCGCAGCAGCAGGCCATGCTTGGAGGGGCAGCGGACGGAATCGCAGTGTGGCGGCCGTGGCGTCAGGCGTAGTTATAAGCCGGTGTCCAAGTTGCAGCAGCTGGAGCATGCAAGGCCGGCAGCAGCAGCGGCGGGGGCGCCGTGCGCTCATACGTGCGCGCGATCCCAACAGCAGATCGGCGGCATCACGTGGCTTGCCGATTCGAAACAATCAACAGCCCACTCAAGCCAGGCAAACATGGCCGCTGCGGCTGCCACCCAGCTTCCACACCGATCCACGACGCCCCCCCCCCCCTCCCCACCACGAACGAACACAACCCAGACGACCCCACCCTCATCGGACACCTCATGGCGGCGGCCGCGACGGTCCTCGACCGCTGCGAGGCCGCGCGGCGCCGCAAGCTGCCCTTCTTTGGCAGCAATGCGAAGATGCGGGAGCTGGACAGGCGGCAGACGCTGGAGAGGGTGGCAGCGCAGCGAGCCGCGCTCAGCGCTGCGCGCGTCGGGCTGCCGCAGGTGCCCCAAGGGAGTGGGGGCGGCCAATTGGACGCGCCGGAGGGCAGGCGGGCGCGGGGGCTGCAGGGGTTTGCGGGCACGCGGCAGGGGCAGCATGGGGGCGGCGGGCGGGCGTGGTGTTTTGGCGGCGGCTTGTGTCGCAGCGGGGAGGCGAGGGACGCGGAATTTGAAGAATGCTCGGCCCTGGTGTGATACATGACGCCCCCACCCCTCATCACACACAGTCTCCTACCCGCGCTCACAGACGCACGCACTTGCAGCTACACACGTACACCTGCACCCCAACCACCCTCGCGCCCCACCACACAACCCGCCCCAGGTCATCCTCTCCTCCAAGATCGCCCCCCGCGCGCTGTCGGGCGTCAACAGCCCCGACCCCCTGTGTGCACGCCACGCGATGGCGCTCGCGGCGCTGGTCGCGCGCGACGCGCCGTCGCTGTTCATAGACCATGTGGCCCACCTGATACAGGGCAACCTGGACATTTTCCAGGCCACGGGTGAGGGGCCGCGGGGCGCCGGGCGCGCCCGTCAGCTTGGATCGACGGCCGTCGTTTTGGTGTTGCGTCGGTTCTTGCGTCCCCCTGCACACGGCGTGACGAAGCTGCATCCAGCCAGGCGTCGGCGCGCGCCGCATGCGGCGCGCGTGGTTGCACGGTGATGGCGCGCTGAAGAGGCCCGCCTTCCAAATGACGGCGGGCGTCCCGCAGTCCTGGGCGCCCCGCCGTCGGCCATGGGCCAACCCCTCGTCCCTCCTCTCCGTGACCCCTGCGCAATACATGTTTTCCCCTCCCCTCTGCCCTGCCCTCCCCGCCCCGAGGCTCCCTGAGCGCCCTGGACGCGGCCGCCGCGATCTCAGCCGTGCAGGCGGCCGGCGGCCCCGGCGCCAAGCCGGCGCGGCCGTCCAAGGACCTGTTCCAAGAGCGCAGCGCCAACCTCAGCGACGCGTGGGCGCGGCTGTACCTCGCGCGCGCGTGCGGCGCGGTCGTGTCGGCGGGATTCGCGTCCGGTGAGGGGGATGATCCTCCCTCTGACCCTGTTGCCAGTGTCCACAGGGTGCCAAGTAGGGCTAAGGCGTGCGTGTGTGCCCCTGCAGCGCGGCCTCGATCGCGGCGCATGCGCCTGTGCTGCAGCTTCGTTGCACCTTTGTTGTGCTGTACCTTCGCTGCAGCTCTGCTGTGCTCTCGCTGCACCTTGTACTATACCTCAGCGGCCCACCTTCGATGTGCCGCCCGCCCGCCCGTCCGCCCGCCCGCCGCCCCCCGCGCAGCGTCCTCCAACACCGTGATCTGGGAGGCGCTGACCACCCTGGCCTGCTGCGACCGCGCGGTGATCGTGTGCCTGGAGGCCATCCGCGGCCTGGTGGGGACGCCATACCCCACAGTCAGCAAGCTGCCGCCGCCGGGCAGCAAGAAGGTGCGCGGAGGCGGGCGGAGCCGCTCGCTGGCCCTGAAGAGAGCAAGTGCGGGGTCGCAACCGCTGGATGGGGCGGCGCGGGCTGCAGCATCCATCTGGGCAGCCTAGGGTCTGACGTACTTTATGATTATGATGACATTCTGAGCGTGGGCGCCGGCACCCCACAGGTCCCGCAGCTGGACGAGAGGAGGGAGCAGGACGACTCATATCGCCAGGCCGCCGCCTGGCGCGCGCTGCTCGCACACGCCGCGCACGACGCCCCCGCGCCCCAGAAGGGCTCCGCCGCCGCCGCCGCCGCCGCGCTCGCCGCGACGAGCGCCGCCGCCGGCGCGGGCGCGGGCGCGTTTGGCTTTGGCGCCGGGCTGCTGCCGGGGGTGGCGAAGCAGTTCACAGTCGGGCGGTCCCAGCGGGGCGTGGAAGAGAGCGCCGCGCTGCAGCGAATGGCTTCGCTCGCGCGCGGCAAGGGGCAGCCGCACCCGGGCGCGATTGCCGAGGACGAGGAGGAGCAGGAGCCCCCGCGGCCGTCGCTATTTGCGGCCGTCGTCGAGCGGCTGACGGCATGCCTGGGCATGAAGTCCCACGCTGCGATCGCCAGCGCGTGCCGCGCCGTCGCTGCGCTTGCGGAGGCGCGGGCGCGCGCGGTAGCGCTCGCGCGGAGCCCGGGGGAGCGCGCGGCGGCGCTGGGGGGCGGGGAGGTGCGGGAGCTGCTGGCGCAGCTCGAGGCGCGGATGGTGGCGGTCGCGAAGGAGCCCGGGTTCAGCGCGGCGCAGGTGGGCCTCTGCCTTTTCAAGCGTGAAGACCGCCTGCCACGCCAGATGGTTGCAATCTAGAGAGCCCCAGCTTGCATTGAGTGCCCGCTATCGTGTCGTCAGCCTGCTTGCTCTTGAACCTGCCGCCTCTTGACCCTGCCGCACGACGGGGCCGTTCGATGCTCACGACAGTGGAGCCGTCTCTGTGTGCCCGCTGAAACCTGGAAAGCTGTGACTCCAACAACCGCGGCGGCCCGCCCCTTCCAAACGCTGCCCCACCCCAACACAGCGTCTCAAGGCGCTGGAGGCGCTGCTGTGGCTGCAGCAGCTGCCCAGCAGCCGCCCGCCGGCCATCTCGCCCGACGATCTGCTGCAGCAGCTCAGTATGGGTGAGGGGGTTCAGCACGGGCGCATGCATTGACCACACGCCCCCCTGCTTCATGCATGGGCGTGCGTGCGTGCCTCCGCGGGTGGCGCACATGGTGGATTTGCCACACATGCGCTGCCGCAAGCTGACCCCAAGGCAATTTCCCCGCCGTTCTGCTGGTCGGCGCCATTCATCGCAGGCGGCGGCACGGTGTCCCTATCAGTGGCTACCATTTTCGCCGACCCCTGGCCCGAGGACCTCCTGACGGGCCTCATGTTCACCTTGACGCGCCGCCTGTTCAGCGCGCCGGGCGCGGCGGAGTATCTGCTCGCGTGCGCGGGCGCGGTCGCGCGCGCGTGCCCCAGCCGGGTGAAGCACGAGCAGCTGCACCAGATGTGGGACACGTGCCTGAGGTGAGGGGCGCGCGCCGCGGCGGCGCGCCGCGCCGCGCCGCGTTGCGAGGGACATTCGCTGCGCGTCCGAGGTCTTTCAATCAATCAATGCGCATGTGATCCAACTTGACTTACACACACAGATTACTTACATGTTGATATCATCCACCCCTCCGTATCAAATCTCTGCCTGTCGTGCCACATGCGAATGCAAAGGGGGCCACTTGCAGTGGCCTTCCAGGGTTCGCTTGGCCTGAACCAACTCTCACCAACAATGCGTGCATCGCGACGCCCCTGTCGCCACCCCCCCACCCTACCCGGCCCCAGGGCCAGCGAGCCGCAGGTCAAGCTCGCCGCGGTGCGCTCCGCGCTGGCGCTGCTGTCGTCCCCCGCGCCGCCCATCGCGTCGCCGCCGTCGGCGGCGGCGCCGGAGGTGAAGGTGCTGGCAGCGCGCGAGGAGGCGGCCTACTGGGCGCTGGTCAGGTGGGCAGGCAGGATTGTAGTGTGTGTGTGTGGGGGGGGGGCAAGAGCGGTGTGTGCGCGTAAGTTTGTGTGTGTGTGTGTGTGTGTGTGTGTGTGTGTGTGTGTGTGTGTGTGTGTGTGTGTGTGTGTACGGCTGCACTGCGCGTGTTGGTGCGTGTTTCTACAAATTCATGCGTGCCTGCGCACGCGTGCGTTCGTGTGTGTATATGTGTACAAGTGAGTCTTTGGTCAAGGGACTGTTGTTCCTAGTCATTCTTCTCGCACTTTTGTGTGTGTGTGTGTGTGTATGTGTGTGTGTGTGTGTGTGTTTGTGTCCGTCAGGCAGGGTGCGTGTGCAAGCCATGCAGAGGCTCTGCCACATTTCCCACACCACTGGCAGCCAATGGCGGCGGACAACACCAGTCTTCCCAGCTCCTGTGCCACCCGCTGCCAACTTGCCATTGCACCACTCACTGTGCCTGCTCCCGTCCTTACGGGGATGACTCAGCCGCTCCAATAAAGACTCTCGGTGCAGTGGGGGCTTCAAGCTCCCCCAGCCCACATCCAGGGACGGCACGCCCCCATGTCATCTCCCTGACTCGCACCCGCCATCCCTCCCCGCCGGCCGCCCGCAGGTCTGCCGCCTGGTGGCTGGGCGAGAACGCCAACTTTGCTGCCAACGAATTCGTCTGGAAGCCCCGCCCGCCGCCGCCCGCGCTCGCGGCCGCCCTGGAGACAGCGGACGGTATGCCGCAGGAGCTGCTCGCGGCTGCGGCGGTCGCGGGCAACCCGCTGCTGTCCATGGTACTCACGCACCTGCAGAGGGTGAGGGGGCGCGCGAGCGCTGGCTGGCTGGCGCCAGAAAAGGGAGGGGAGCGGAGGCTCGCTGCGTGCGTTCGTGACGGATCACGTTCGTGCTGGGTGTTGCCGCCCGCTGCATGAAGTGGCGTGCGTGACGGGTCCAAACGGTTTCCTGTGCGGCCAGGCGCGCTGGCCCCCGGCCGCCGCTTGAAGGCTGCTATGCACCTCTTCTGCTGCGGCCGGAGCCATTTTTCAGATGCTGAGCCCTCCCCTGGACCCGTGTGCATCCTGCAAACCATGATATATCATACAGGCGATGGTTGCGGCGCCATGGGAGGTCAGAATTGCATCAGCGCAGTCTGTGGCGAAGATCGGCGTCCGCTCCGGCGAGCCGTTCCGCGTTCAGTGCTACAGCATTCTCGCCACCGCCCGCGGCCGCGCGCCGGGCGAGGGCGGCGACGGCGGCGGCGGCGCGGCGGG